AACTTTTTCCAAAGCCATATATATTATTATAGTAATATGGCTCATCTAATGAAATATACTTGACCATCTTTTTGTAATTTATACTGAGAAATTGAAAATATATAGGTGTAATCTTGTTAGATTTGTCTTAATATATAATTTTAAATGTTACTTTTCTTATATTTTTGATCTATTGATTATTAATTATAGTAATATCTGAAATTATGTATTAGTAAAATAAACGTGCCTAATGAATTGTGTCTGTTATGGAGTAATATGAAATGAGAAAAGGTATTATATGGTGTGACAACCAGTCATTATAGGGGTGTTACTTCGTTAGTGTAATAGGGATTATTTAGGTGTCGTTTGGTTGCCATGGGAATTTACTTCCCATAGAAATTTGTATTTCATGGAAATTAAATTACTACATCAAATTCATGGGAATTGCATAAATTTGTTTGGTTGGAATGAAGGAAGTTGTAAATCATGGGAATTTTGACTTACCTAGGGAAGATTGGGTAATTAACTTCCCGTATTTTGTGGGAAGTCACAATTCCCATTAATTTGCAATTCCCTCATTTACACTTTTTATTGTCAACCAAACAACTCCTCCATTTTTAAATTCCCATGATTTTTCACTTTTCCAATTTTCTTTGTATAACCAAACAACTTAGTGTTAAAGGGGTTACTTCATCAGTGTTATAGAGTTACTCAATCAATGTTACAAGGGACATTAATATTATAGGGATTACTTGATCAGTGTTATAGAGATTACTTTATTTTTTTTATAAGTGGTCATACGGGTGTAATCCACCACACACAAAACAGTAATCTTCTTAAAAATGGAAATTTTTAAAATGTTTTTACTTTGTTATGTCTACTGTTAGCAGACAGATTCTTTCTTAATAGTCCAATTCCATTTCTCAAAAGTTTGCAAGAATAAGCATCTTTCTTCCCAAGAAAAACTTTACTAAATAATTACACGCCATTCAATTAAAAGAATATCACTTTTAATCCCACTAGAAAAAAGATTTTATTCTTCAAAATCAGGAGGAAATTGCGTTACATATAGGCATTTTATGTTTCCATGTCGACCACATGAAATTCGCATTGTTCTAAGAAATTTTGGATTTTAAGACATAATGTAGACCAACATCTCAAGTTTAGGCTTATTTATGTAGGGTGTTTAAATAGAGCCTCTTGTAAACAATTTACAATTTGATTGGCTAATTGTTTTGCTCGATTCATGAATGGAAAGGGTTAAAACTCAATTAGTTCGAGCACTATGAGAGTATGAGAGCTCGCTTAACTTGAAGTAAGTTATATAGAATTCGACTTATGGTCTTGTGAGCCAAAGTAATTAATGCATGTATTTCAAATTTTCAAGCCCAAAGAAATTAATGCATGTATTTCAACTTTTCAAAATCATAAAGATAAAGGTATTCTTAATTAGTAGAGGGTTGTGTTGTTAAAGATACACAAAGTGAGCGACGTCACATAGCCTAACTCTAAATGCTAAAGGTTGTTAGGCATTTTGGTTTTTGGCGGATAATTAAATATTCACATTAAATTTTGAATTTATAAAACAAAGATCCATTTATAAAAATCGTATAGTCATGAATTTTCCCATGTCGTTGTCCCAACCCTAATTCTTGATAACGTATTCAAGTTGAATGTTGTCACAAATCCCAACAAGGCAACAATAGCAACAACAATTGTATGTTGTTTAATGGTTATCAAACTAGTACGAAGTAACTACTATTGAAGTCATAGAGCGCAGCTCAAGCTAGCTCAAAGCATGTTGGATTCAACTTGACTCGTTTTCAATCAAAGGCTTACCCTTCAAAGTTCACAATAACTTACATATAACTAGTGATGTGGGAGAAATTTAATTAACAATTATCTTGTTCGATCTCTAAAACTTTTTGAATTTTTATACGATCAAGTCCGGTCAATAAATAAAACTTGATCAACTTCATTAATTTCTTATAATATAAATCATTTTTAATCGATGACTTATCATAGACCATGACAAAAAATACCACAGAATAAAAAATTAACTCATCAAAATGTCCAGTTAATAAAAGATATTGAAGTTTTAATCAGTAACAATCAATTTTTATTCAATGAAATAAACTAAAACAGTAAAACATCTAGATATAATTTTCATTTTTGAAGATATTCATGAATGTATGAAGAAAGGTCCATATGTAATACTAGTACAAGAACAACCTAATTTGGAAAGAGCTACATAATGATGTTTTGGCAAGTGGTTTAATTGGCGGTGCAGCCGGTGCCTTGTAATTAAAGACAATAACAGGATTATTATTTAAATTAATCACATTTATGATTTGATAACAGATAACTTAATCAATTGCAAGATCACAAATCATTCATGCATGCATCTAAAATTCTTAGATAATAGTATCATGTCTAAGAAAAATATGGCAAATAAAGTAATACAAATCATATAAGTTGAAAGTTGGATTATATGTATACTTATTTCTAGATCAAATTTTAACGTGAAGTTTGGTAAGTTGTCACTTAAAAGTAGATACAAGGAACTATTTTACTCATGACAAATATATGTGACAAAGTTTTAAAAGAGAAATAGTTGTGAGATATAATTAATTAATATTTGTATATACTTATTCAATTATAATCAAACATTAAAGATTCAAGCCATACTGGAATAGAAATTCTTCATTTCATTTACTTATTACTAGGACTGTACGAAACTATCCGAAAATCCGATAATCTGATTTACAATCTATCCGAATTTTTGGATATCCGATCTGAGTATTCATTTTGGATCGGATATTCGATCTGAAAAAGCGGATATCGGATGCGGATTTGGATATTGATTTTCAAAATCCGAAACATAAAAACTGAAATAGTGAAATATATATAAAATTTTAAATTGTTCATATAAAACTAACCCTGTATTTTTAACTTATTATAATATTTTTAATATATTTGATGATAATTTTTATTGCAAAATGACTACTATTTTGTTAAAGTATGTTGTACAATTTAGCGATAAAAAAGCGGTAAAATTAGTGAAATTTAGAAAGTAATCATAATCAGTTTTACTTAATATTGTATAATGGATATCCGAACCATCCGATCCAAAAATTTTGGATATCCGAATATCGAATATCCGAAAGTTTTGGATCGGATTTGGATATCAGTTTCTGATATCCGAGTATTCGGATATCCGATCCGAAATCACATTTGGATCGGATATCCGATCCGTGAACAAGCCTACTTATTACTTACCGTCTTACATAAAACCTCATTTCTTCTTGGCACAGGTTGTTATCAAAGAGAAATCGCTATGACGTATAATTGGTATATAAGGCTTTGTTTACTTCGACTTAATTTTATATATTTCAAAAAAATAAATTCAGATTAGAAAAAATAATTCAAATCAGATCAGATCAGGAAAAAAAAGTTCAGATCAGATTATCGTATTATATACATTTTTTTGTCGCTAAATATCTTTAATTTCGTAATAAAAAAAATTATGAAAATTACATATTAATAAAAATACACATTATTACGAATCTAACACGACCTCACTTGATATCATTTTTTCCTAATAGATTATCGTACACTTAAGGACAAAGTTTGGTCAAATCAGACAATCAGATCAGATCAGATAAGTTTAGATAAGTAAAAATAAGGTAAACTAAACAAGCCCTAAGTTAAATAATTAAAAAAGTAGTAGAAATAATTTATTTTGATCCTTTTAGGGGAATTGAGAGAAAAAACAATATGGTTATTAGAAGGGTTTTTATTTAATAAAAGTTTATAAAAAAAGTCAATACTCAAGATGTAACGTTAGCCCAAGTCGAAAATCTAGATTGATAAGAGTATTCAATTCTATCGTAGATGTTATTTGAAATATTAGATATCCAAAAATGGAGAGAAATTGTTGAGGGCAGAGAAACGAAAGAGGAATTATTCCGTTGTTTGAATAAGGAATTGGGGGAGGCAAGGTAGGGGATGAAAGGGATCTATACTCTCCCTCTTTAATGAGATCATTACTTAGAGATTTTTTGGGAGGAAGTGGGTCTCTATTTCCTACCCTTCGTTTCCCTTCTAATTTGTAATTCAAACATTGTGTCAAATAGGGGTGTTAACCGGTCCAAAATCGGACCGGACCTATTGGGACCGGGACCTAAATTAGAAGATTTTGAGGACCGGAGACCGGACCTGATTCAACAGGTCCGGTTCCGGGTCAGACCTGAAAAATCAGGTCCGGACCGGTTTGGACCTGAATAGACCTGTTTTGTTATTTTTTTTGTTTTTTTTTTAATAAATAACCTGTTCGACCTGCATATGGACCTGTATATGGACCTGTTTTGTGATTTTTAGACCTGTTGCATAATTTAATAATTACATACAATCCCAAATTATCAATCACAATTTTTTTTTATTTTTAGACCTGTTGCATAGACCTGTAATAGGACCTAAATAGACCTGTTTTGATTTTAGATTTTTTTTTTTTAAAAAAAAAAAAATACAATGTTACCGGGTTTCAGGTCCGGACCTGAAACCTCGGTTTTGGACCTGATCCAGACCGGAACCGGAAACCTTGAATTTCAAGGACCGAGACCGGGACCGGACCTGAATCTACAGGTCCAGATCAGGTCCGGTTCAGGTCAATTTTCAGGTCCGGTCCTGTTTATGCACACCCCTAGTATCAAAGACTAACACTTTAGCGTCATTCTTCTGGTGAACATGTATGACCCACAAATCCACGATTCTTCTATTTTATTTCTTAATCCAAATGATAATTAATGATAAAACTAGCTATAAACTCAATACAGTTTTTTACTCGTAAAAAATAAAAGTTAAGCTATGAGAAAAGTGTTTATGCCAAATTTCACCTAAGAGCAATTTAAGGTTGGGACGTTCGACGGCTAGAGAAGAGACTATATAAAACGAATAAAACTAAAGTGAAAACAAGTAAAAGACAAGGTATTTTGATGATGCAGAGAACTCAAATGTGGGAAAAACTGCGGGTGGGTGCAATACCACTGTTTCACTATGAATAACTTAGAATACAATGAGTATGAGAGCTTATAATTAAGAGTAGAGTGCGTAAGTAATGTGTAGCTACTGAGTACAAGGACTATGCTATTTATAGGGCTAATTATGAATATTAAACCCTAGCTAGAGGGCTGTTGAGAGCAAGCAACAACTTCCCTAAAATGTAGGACAGTTGTTGTTAGACTAAGTCTTGGACTTATCTCTTCGTTGTGGAATTATCTGGATGGAATTTGAATTATCCTTACTGGATGTGTTGTTGGAAAATAGCCATGGTATCATTGTGAGTATTTATCTCTTCCTTGTCTTTCGCCAAGTTGGTTACAAGATCATCAGTCGCCCTCCATCGTCGTGTGACGTGTCGGACGTCAAGTCGTGCCCTAATTTTGACCATAACAGTTTGCCGCTGATTGTTGACTTGATCGTGGGTAACTCAAGGGAACAATCTTAACTTCCCATTATCCCACTAACAATTTGAACTTAACCGCATTAACTCCTCACCTAACTCTTGCATAAATAACCGTGCCCCCTTTCTTTTCCACTTCTACACTCTTCCTAAATCCTTGCATTTTCTTTCTACAAAAAATCCCCAAATTCATTCAATCTTCCTGGATTCTTCTGGTGCTTCGAGCTTTGACAACGAATTCAGGCCAATTTCATCAGGTAAATTCCATACTTTGACTCAATTTCTTTTTAATTTGTTACTTGCGTATGTCTGGCAAGCCGAATTTGCCTTCAACGAACTAGGTTTTCGTTTAGAGTTTTGGAAAGAGGTGAGAGTAAAGTTGTTGGTGATATGGCGGACAATGATGATCCTCTTAGTGACTTTGTAGAGGAAGACGTGGCGTCCTTTGTTGCTTTGGCAGGGATGCCGCAGTGCACCGTAGTGCAGGTGCCTTCTGAGAAGGAGAGGCCGGAAGACTGCCCTCACAGACACATCGTACTGTATGAGTACCTTTTAGGTTGGGGTACACCTTTCAATTTGGTCCCCTGTCACGATCTTTGATGGGAGTCTTGGACTTAAGTCTAGGACAAGTGATGCCTCAATTTTGGAGGATAGCTCATGTCATCGAAAAGGTGACCAAAGATTGGGGTGAATCTTTCGACCTGTCAGATCACTAAGAAGAATAGGTGTACCTTAGTACTGAAGAAAGGACATCCTGCTCTGGTCGAGAGAGCTGGGAAGGTGAATGATCGTGGCTGGAAGTCGCGTTACTTGTTTGTTGATAAGGAATCTTTGGGGGAAGAGGCTAGCTGGATGCGCTGTGGTTGGCATGACGGAGGTATTCCTTATGTCTCTCGTCGCTTCTTTACTTTAGTTTGTTGACGTGTGTTCTTATGGCTTGCTTTGTTGCAGAAATTGACGTCGCCGTCGTGACTCATGGAAGGAAGAGTTTGCGCAAAGTAGAGGTTGTGCTAAGCATTACTAAGGAAGATCGGACGTCGTGCGCCCTGTCGTAGTTAAAGAGGTTGAGGAAGAAGGAGGCGACAAGCAGGAGATGGCTTCTGGTAAGTTAGTCGCTTTTACTCTATTTGTGTTGTTTTCAGCCTTAACATGCGTCTTCCTTTTCAGAAACATAATCTGGTAAGACCAAGAGAGTTGTGATGTCTTTCGACGAGATGGTGGAACGCGCAGCCAAGAAAAAGAAGCAGACTGCTTTTGATGAGTCGGACATCAAGGTTTTAAACGTCAAACCTCTTCAGATATGCACGTCTCCTCGTGCTAAGGAGATACCGCCCAAGGCACCCAAGGAGTCTGACTAAGTGCTGCGAGTTCCAGCTGATTTCCTTTCTAGGACTTCCATGTCGACTTCCCTTTGGCCTTCTGCTGAAAAGTTGTGGTGCTGAAAAACGTTTGGAGAAGATGACGCCTGCTAGCATTGTTAGTGAAGCGGTGTCGCTTCAGCTGAATGTAACTTATCTTCTAAATTTTGCTTTTTCTTCTTGTTTAGCGTCATGTCATGCGACCCTTGATTTTCTCTGTTTACAGGCCTTGTAGGATTTGTTGGCGGTGCGTGGCCACTTTATTTCTGGGGAGAAAGAGATGAATGATCTTCATGTCTATGTCGGCACTATCAGGAATCAACTTCGCGCTGCTGAGGGAGAGGCGACCAAGCTGAAGAAGGCCTTAGGGGAGAAAGAGAAGCAGGTCTCTAAGCTGAACGCTTCGCTGGAGGAGAAGAGCAAGCAAGTTTTGGAGCTGGAGGCGTCTTTAGTTGAGGTTTGCGAAGATGCGCAGAAATCCAAGTGCCTCGACCAGCTGACTGTTTGTGCCAAGATGCTGAAGCGCTTCCTCGATGGTCGTCTAACTGTTGAGGATGCTCAAAAGGAGGTGAATGTCTTTCTGACGTCCCTTGTCACTGAGGCTGATCTGGTCTCTGATGTTGGGGCTCCTGAGTAGGACATCAACTCTACAGCGGATTCACAAGAGAAGGTCGACGGTGCAGCTCCTGATGCTACTATTGGGATTGCTATTGAGGTTGCTGCTAGGCCGACGCTTCTGTTGGTGATGGAGTTAATGCTGATGATGCTTAACTTTTGTCGTCTTTGCCTTTTGTCGTACTGTTGAATTTTCTTTTGCCTCGAACTATTTCTGTTTTGATGTACCTTTTACTGATCGTCGTGGGACGATCAGGTTTGTTTCTTATTTTCGAAGTACTTTGTACAATTTCCTTTTGTAATCGTCTTTACTGGTTGTCGTGGGACAGTCAATCTTTTGTACAAATGCTTGTGGATCCTGCAAACTTTGCGCAATGCATGAAAAATATCTTGGGTTTTATTGCATTGGATATCGTGCGTACAACCTTCGTAAGATAAGTACAAGTTTTTAAAAAAATGTAGAAAATTTTCTAAGTGCGAATTTTTATGAATTCGCTATGTTTTGAATTGTTACACTTAGTAACTTTAGGAAAAAACTTGCATATACCCTAGTGCTTGCGTAATGCATGGGTGTTTCCCCTAATATCTTATGTCGTACGTCAGTTGGCCAAAATCAATGTCAATGGTAAGATATTTCTTTGCCATGGCAGTAAGTTATCTTGGGTCGCGACTGACGTTCTGTCGTGTCTCGTCCAGGTTTGGCGTTTGAAGCCCTTGCGTTTATGCAAAACAGGCGTTAGGACCTTACCGTTGGCCTTTTTGCCAACAACCCTCCGATGCCTAAGTCAGTACTTGTTGTCCAAAAAGTAATATTAAACTGAAAAAGAACTTCAAGACTTAAGATCGGGCATTTGTACCTTAGGTCTTTATCTAGAAGTGGTAAAATTTAAGATGTGTCGCGTCCAGCTTTGAGGAACGACCTTACCTTCTTTGGACATAAGCCTGTATGCCCCTTTACCTGCGACGTCGAGGATCTGATATGATCCTTCCCACGTCGGGCCTAGCTTGCCATCTGTCGGATCTTTGGTGTTTTGGAAGACTTTCCTCAACACCCAATCTCCTACTTTGAACACTTTGGCTTTGACGTTTTTGTTGAAGCTTCGTGCAAAGATTTGTTGTTGCGCTGCCATTCTGACGTACACTGCTTTCCTTAACTCCTCTGAAGTGTCAAGGTCGGCCGACAGCTCTATGTTGTTTTGGTCTGTCGTCATGAGGCCATATCTTGCTGTTAGGATGCGTACTTCAGATGGCAAGACTGCTTCGCACCCGTAAACAAGAAAGAACGGGGTTTGTCCCGCCGACGTTCTAGGAGTTGTCCTATTTGCCCAGAGTACCGACGGGAGTTCTTCAGCCTACTTTCCTTTGGCTTCCTTGAGTCGCTTTTTTAATGATTGGATAATTGTCTTATTGCTTGACTCAGCTTGGCCATTGGCTTGTGGGTATCTCGGTGTGGATGTGCAAAGTTTGATATTCCATTTCTCACAGAATTGTCTTGTCTTGTCACTTATGAATTGTGACCCGTTGTCACAGACGATCTCAGAGGGGATCCCAAAACCTGCAAATTATGTTATTCCATAAAAATGAAATGACTTCTTTATCGCATACCTGAGTGAATGAGTCGGCCTCGATCTACTTTGAAAAGTAGTCCGTTAGTGCAAGCATGAAGACCTTTTGTCCAGGATCTGTTGGAAGCTTCCCTACTATGTCCATTCCCCATTTAATTAAGGGCCACGCGCATAACGTAGGGTGTAGCATCTCAGATGGTTTATGCGTCATTCTTGCATAACATTGGCAGTTGTTGCACTTTGCAAAGTAAGCTTCTACGTCTTTCTTTATGGTTGGCAAAAAGTAGCCGATTCTCAAGAGCCTGTTTGCCAAGCTGCGACCTCTAGAATGGTTTCCACATTCTCTGTCGTGGTGTTCCTTTAAGACTTCTTGTTGCTCGTCGCCGATGAGGCATCTCTGCAAGAGACATGTGGAAGACAATTTGAACAACACGTCATGTAATAAAGTGTATCTAGCCGCTTTATACCTGAGTTTTCTTGCTTCAAGAGGATTATGTGGCAAGACATCGTCCTTTAAGTATCTGACTATTGGCGTCATCCAATTGGCGGTTGCATCTATCCCCATGACATCTGGAATCCAGGATGTGTCGACCAACGACTTCTACAGGTGGACCAGAGGGATGGTACTAAAGGGCGACTTTCTGAGTGCCGAGCCTAGGTTGTCTAGGGCGTCAGCTTGCGTATTTTTGTCTCTTGGGACTTTCTTGATCGAGAACGAGTTGAACTGCTTAGCTTTCCTCTTCGCAATCTCCAGGTAGGCCGTCATTTTTTTGACTTTGGCTGCGAATTCTCCATTCAGTTGACTAGCGATGAGTAGAGAATCTCTATATACGTTCAAACCAGTTTCCTTTAGGTCTAACGCGACGGTCATGCCTGCAATTAGTGCTTCGTACTCTGCTTTGTTGTTAGTTGCCTTGAAGTCGCAGTAGATGGATTGTACGATCATGTCCCCTTGTGGTGATTTTAGCACGACGCCTAGGCCGGCGCCTCTCTGATTCGACGAGCCATCGCAGAACATTTGTCTAAACTGCTTCTTGGCATGCATTGTTTATCTCCTTCAGCTCTTGGGTGGCTAATGGTTCCAACTCCGGGATGAAATCTGCCACAAAGTCTGCAAGTTCCTGCGACTATATTGTCGTCCTAGGTAGGTACTTGATGTCGTACCCGCTTAGGGCGACGCTCCACTTGCCCATTCTACCTGTTAACTCTGTTTTACGCAAGATAGACCTGATGGGAACGTTAGTTCGCACCACCACTTGGTGGGTTTCAAAATAATGACGTAACTTTTTCAATGGATGTATGCCTGGTCTCTACGTCAAGCAGAGACTTACTGACGTAGTAGACTGGTAACTGCTGGTTGTCGTCTTCCCTTGCAAGGACTGAATTGACGGACGTTGAGCTTACTACTAGGTACAAATGCAACATCTCGTGTTCTTTTGGCTTGGAAAGAAGTGGCGGTGATGCCATGTACTGCTTCAAGTCCTACAAAGCCTTCTCATGTTTCTCTGTCCATTCGAACACTTTTTTTTTTCTCATGACGTCGTAGAATAGGTGACATCTGTCGGATGACTTTGATAAGAACCTATTCAGCGCCGCTACGTGTCCTGTCAATTTTTTGCGTTTCCTTGATGTTCCTTGGGGATTGAATGTTGACTATGGCTTTGATTTGGTTAGGACTTGCTTCAATACCTAGCTAGGTCACGATGTATCCTAAAAATCTTCCTACAGAGACTCCAAAAGAACATTTAGTAGGTTTAGCTTCATACCATACTGTCTTAAAACGTCGAAGGATTGCTTGAGGTGTCTGATGTGGTCATCAGCTTTCTTTGACTTGACCACCATGTCTTCGATGTACACCTTCATCGTATCTCCTAGCTGATATTGGAACATCTTATTGACGAGCCTTTGGTACGTCGCTCCTGCATTCCTCAAGCCAAATGGCATGACTTTGTTGCAATAAATACCCTTGTCCGTCATGAAGGTTGTCTTCTCTTGATCCTCTAGGTGCATCGGTATTTGGTTGTACCCTGAATATGCATCCATGAAGGTGAGCAATTCGTGCCAAGCAGTTGCGTCGACCATCGTGTCGATATGTGGTAGGGGAAATGGATCTTTTGGGGATGCTTTGTTCAAGTCGATGAAGTCTATGCACACTCTCCTTTTTCCGTTCTTCTTGCTGACTACCACGACATTCGCTAGCCAGTCGGGGGTATTTGACTTCTCTTATTTTTCCTGTTTTGATCAGCTTTTGTACTTCGTCATTGATCACTTGATTTCTTTCTAGTGCGAATTTTCGTCACTTGTGCTTGACTGGTCGCTGGTTAGGGTCGACGTTTAGTTTGTGAGTGATCACGTCGGGGCTGATACCTGTCATATCCTCATGTGACCAAGCAAAACAATCTGCGTTAGCTTTAAGAATTCAATGAGTTTGACCTTATACCTAGGTCGAGTGACGCCCCATTTCGGACGGTGTGCTCTGGTTTGCTGGGATCCAGCGCCACTTCATCTACCGCTTGTTCGTCGGGCTCTTCTAACGCTAGTCCTTGCTGTAATTGCTATACCCTCCTTTTGGATGGCTTCAAGGTAGAACTGTAGCATTTCCTAGCTTCCTGCCTTTCTCCTTTGATTTCTTGCATGCCTCATTTGGTTGGAAATTTGATCGTCTGATGGTATGTTGAGGGGACGGCTTTCATTCTATGGATCCAAGGTCGACCAATGATGGCATTGTAGGCCGACGGGCAATCCACGACGTTGAAGTGCGTTGACAGGTTGACACCTTGAGCATATGTAGGTAGCACGATCTCTCCACCTTTATGGAGGGCTTCTCTGCTGAAACCTACAAGGACAGTTGATTTTCTAACAACGTCTGTGGTGTCGATTCCCATGTCTTCTAAGGTACTTTTTAAGAGGACATTAGCTGAGCTTCCTCGGTCAAGTAACACTCTTCGCAACAAACAGTTGCCAATGGTAATGGATATCATTAGTGAATCATGATACTCTTCTTGGTAGTCTCCCAGGTCGCAGTCATCGAAGGAGATCACCATCGCTTCTAGAGCTTTATCTTGATTTGATCTTACGTCTTTTGGAACAGCTTCCTCGGGGGTACCTGTTCTTGCTATTTTCTTTGCTGTAGAGTACGTTAGTCCACAAATATCAGATCCACCAGAGATAACATTGACTACCTTAGTGATCGTCGGGGCTTTTGGAAGCTGCTGGGGCGACATCTCTTTGTTGCTTAACTTGTCTTTTCCCATCAGCTCCTTTAGATGACCTTTCTTCAAGAGGAAGGTTATTTCTCTTCTCAAGGCGTTGCAATCTTCAGTATGATGGCCATAATCGCTATGGTAGTCGCACCACTAGGATTTGTCTTTGCTTTCATCTGGCTTATCGCTCTTCCTGGGCCAACGGGCAACAACGCTTAAGGAATGCAAGGAATTCACCACGCCCCCGATGTGGACGCAGAAGTCGTACTCAACAATGTCGGGGTATGCGTCGGTGTCTTGCTTCTGGGACCTGCCAACAGAGCTTTGTGCATTGCTAGCTTTATCGATGTTATTGGCATTATTTACCTGACCTGGCCTGTCATATGGTTTGCGACGCCAGTTTTTCTTGTCGTTGGTCGGTCTGTCGATCCTTTCACTACTAGGGGAAAGCGAGGGCTTGATGCCTTTTCTGATAGCGATGTCGTCCTCTAGTCGCATCTGGGCTAGGGCGCGAGTCTTGACTTCTTTGAAGGTCGTGTAAGGATACTTGGTCAGCTCTTTGTAAAGCTCCGAATCTAGCGATAATCCTCTCTTGAAGGCTTCTATGGCTGTTCGGACGTCATATCCTTTGATGTCG